GCCTCACCTGTCCCGCAGCAAGCCACGGTGGTGCGGGCGGGGCAGGTGCTGCAGGTGAACGCGGCCGAGCTCGTGGTCGGGGACCTGGTGGAGATCAAGGGCGGCGACCGCGTGCCGGCCGACATCCGCGTGCTGGCCGCGCAGGGCTGCAAGGTGGGCACACCTGGGGGCACCTGGGGGCACCTGGGCACACCTGGGGGCACCTGGGGGCCCCTGGGGGCAGATATGGCACACCTGGGCACACCAGGGAACGCACCTGGGGGCACACCTGGGCACCTGGGAACACCTGGGGGCAGCTGGGAACGCACCTGGGGGCACCTGGGGCAGGTGAGGGCACCTGGGAACGCACCTGGGGGCACCTGGGCACACCTGGGGGCAGCTGGGAATGCACCTGGGCACACCTGGGAATGCACCTGGGCACACCTGGGGGCACCTGAGGGTACCTGGGCACACCCGGGCACACCTGGCACCTGGGGGCAGATATGGCACACCTGGGCACACCAGGGAACGCACCTGGGGGCACACCTGGGCACACCTGGGGGCAGCTGGGGGCACCTGGGAATGCACCTGGGGCACCTGGGGGCACCTGGGGGCAGATATAACACACCTGGGCACACCTGGGGGCAGATATAACACACCTGGGGCACCTGGGAATGCTCCTAGGGGCAGCTGGGAATGCACCTGAGCACACTTGGGGGCACCTGGGTATGCACCTGGGCACACCTGGGCACACCTGGGCACACCTGGAGGCTGAGGCGGGGGCGGGGCCGTGCCCAGGTGGACAATTCCTCGCTGACCGGGGAGTCGGAGCCGCAGCCGCGCTCACCTGAGTGCACGCACGAGTCGCACCTGGAGACCCGGAACATCGCCTTCTTCTCCACCATGTGCCTGGAAGGTGAGCGCACCTGGGGGGCACCTGGGGGCACCTGGGGGGGCACCTGAGGGCACACCTGGGGGCACACCTGGGCACACCTGGGGGCACCTGGAGATCTGGGTCCCACCCGGGTCACACCTAGTCACCCGAGACCCACCTGAGTCCCACCTGGACATACCTGGGTCATGCCTGGGTCACACCTGGGCACACCTGGGGCACACCTGGGTCACACCTAGGGACATCTGGGGGTCTCTGGGCTCCACTGGGACACACCTGGGGCACACCTGGGCACACCTGGGGCACACCCTGGTGATCAGCACGGGTGACCGCACGGTGATCGGGCGCATCGCCAGCCTGGCCTCGGGGGCACACCTGGGCACACCTGGGCACACCTGGGTCCCACTTAGACACACCTGGGCACACCTGAGTCACACCTGGGTCCCACTTAGACACACCTGGGTCACACCTGAGTCACACCTGGGTCCCACTTAGACACACCTGGGTCACACCTGGGTCCCACTTAGACACACCTGGGTCACACCTGGGTCACACTTAGACACACCTGGGCACACCTGGGCACATCTGGGTCAGACCTGAACCCTCACCTGCCTCACCTGT